CTCCCGTACCCCGACGCCCCCCTGCCGCACAACTGGCACCTAGATCCGGAGAGGATCCCGGTGCCGGCGGCCCCGCGGCCGGCCAGGGCGCACGCGGAGGAGGTGCGATGCCGGCGGGCGCTCCTGACGCCAGAGCAGCGCCGCGACTCCGCCTATGCCTCGGACTCGCCCAACTGGACGCGCTGGTTCACCTTCGAGCACGAGGAGACGAGACGACGCGGTGTCCGCGAGGAGGACCAGGACATGGCCCTCTCTGCGGCGGGCGATTGCGTCCTGCTGACGGTGATCCCGCCGGCCCCTGTGAAAGCCCAGCCGGAGCCGGAGCCCATCGAGCGTTACTCCTGAACGGGAGTAGTGCGCGAGTGAGTCAGCGCACCGCCGGTCTAGGTGGGGGCGATGCCGACGCAGGAGGCGGCTTACCTCAAGCACTGGCGCCACATCCGACTGGCCGAGGAGCGCCGCGACGGCGAGTACCTCGAGATGTTTGAGCGCTACGCCGAGGCCGAGCAGTGCGACGCCGAGGAGGAGGCGCGCCAGGCCGCGGCGGCAATGGCGGCCGCACAACCCGTGCCCGACATGAACGCCCTCTGGAACTCGGCCTTCTCCTGGGCCGGCCCTGTGTCGACGCTCATCGACCTCACGGACCCCGAGGACGACGACGATGTCTAGGATAACGCGCCGCCTCGTAGTTTTTTTGTTTTTATTAATGTTAATTGGACACATGGACTCTCGTCAACCTTCGTGGTTGGCTTTAATGTATAATTATTGCATGTTTTATTTTTTGCATGCCTTCAAAAAATGGGTCGGGCCAGTGTTGGACGCACACGTCGACCCGAACATAAAACGAACGTTCGTGTCCGCTTACCCAACCCAAACGGATAAAAACCAAAAAAAATCACTGTCCGTTTAGGTCGACCCGTTGGAGTTGTGCTTAAGCTTTCACGCATACGGATCACGGAAGACATACGCAGATCTATAAAACTTTAAAGAGTCAATTACACTAATGGTGGTACAACTTGACGTAAATGATCATTTTGGTGCTAAAAGTTGTGGTGTATATTGAAATGGTGCAAAAACTTGGCATTAACATGCAAATACGGTGCTTATCTCGTTTATATACGGAGTAGGTGCTGACTAGGCGCGTGGGGCCCACTGTCAGCCACTGCACCAGAGAGAAAGGGTGCGTGGCCTGATTTTTTTGGAAAACACCCTTGAAATATATATTTTCACAAAAAACCCCTGTTGACGTGGAAGAGTGGACCTTCTTCCCTATATTAGGAGTGGGTCCCACCTGTCAGAGAAGAGTGAAAATTTTATCAAAAGTGAGGCCAACTGGACTCGAGCCCATACCCGACAAATAGTCGTCAGTACTGCTAACCAACACGGCAACAAAGTCTCATGTCAAATTTGGATAAGAAAGCTATCTGTACTAACCTGGCAGCATGCGGAGCTTTTATTGGCTGCAGATAGTGCGGCCCATTCTACACCTGTTCCTTTTTAAAATTTATTTGTAAAACATAATTGATAAAAAATATGTTCAAATATTTGTGTGATACAAATATTATACATGGAAAATATTATTAGTGAATAATAACATTTAAATATACATCCTTGCATGATATAAAAAAATTTAGTTAATACTGACATTTAATAAAATTAAAATATTTAATGAATACATAAATATTATACAGTCACGGCTTATATTCAAATTATATAAAATGAATATTCATATGAGCAGCTTAAATTATAAATTATGATTATTTTTTATTATAAAAACATTGAACTATACAAACATGCATATGATTATTGAAATGTTGTATACCTAAATTAATTTTCTTAATTGTAATTTTTTTAGTTCTATAGTTTGCAAACACTGTTATAATTCATAAATATTATTTAAATAATATGTGAACAGTTTTATAAAATGATTTATTATGTTTGCATGTACTCCCTTTGTTTGTTTTTATAAGACCTTTCAGACAGCTTACTTTGTGCTGTTTTCAACAGTGTCTGAATGTCTAAAACATCTTATAAAAATGAACAGAGGTAGTACAATATTTATAAACACAAATATTCATTCGTTATTTTTATTACCGAGAATATAATTTAGATTTTTTAAGAACTTATAATTTAGATACTTTCTGCTGAAAAATAAAAGAAACTAACAGGTGCAAAATAAGCCGCAAGATGTACAGCCCATTTAACCTCCGCCTGCGCTGCGATTAAAATACATATAATAGTTTACCCGTATTGCCCGTAGAAGACTTAATCGGTGCGGTGGTTTGCGAGCTTGTTTGAGGACATTGTTGTGGGTTCGATCCCGGCATTTTGTTTTCGGTCTCAGGGTGACATGCGGAACCCACTTCTCATAGAGGTGGCAAAATCTTCCCACGTCAACAGGGATTTTTTTGGGAAAAAATATTTCGAGGGTGCTTTTGAAAAAAATCTGGCCTCAACAGGGATTTTTTTGTGAAAAAATATTTCGAGGGTGCTTTTGAAAAAAATCTGGCCACACGTCCCTTCTCTCTGGTCGAGTGGCTGACAGCGGGCCCCATGCGTCTGGTCAGCACCGACTCCGTATACAAATGAGATAAGCACCGTATTTGCACGTCAATATCAACTTTTCGCACCACTTCAATGTGCACCACGACTTTTAGCATCAAAATGACCATTTACGTCAAGTTGTAGCACTACGAATATAATTGACTCAACTTCAAATACACTTATGTGAGCACGCAGCACGCACGGACAATGTTAGACCTACGTAACACTTGTTACGTGCTTTACGCAAATAGCAACGTGGAGCATTATTAGTGGATTATTAGGTGTGAGGGGCCCCACCCCCTGAAAATAGGGGGGGGGGGGGCGAGAAGATAGGCAAGTTATCGCCTCCTCCGCAGACGCCGGGCGCGAGGTCATGGTGGTGCGCGATGTGGACTTCGCCACACGCCCCATCAGCCGCATGCTCCGCCTGTCTATCCCCGAAGGAACAGAGGGGATCGCCTTCGCGCCGTACGGCGACAAGTTGCGGCAGATCCGCAAGATCTGCACCGTCGAGCTGTTCAGCGCCCGGCGCGTCCAGTCCTTCCGGACCGTGCGAGAGGAGGAGGCCGGCCGCCTGCTCCTGGCGGTGGCAGCAGCGGCAACGGCGTCTGCCTCGGTGAACCTCAGCAAGCGGCTGTCGGCGTACGCCGCCGACTCATCGGTGCGCGCCATCATCGGGAACAGGTTCAAGGACCGGGACACGTTCCTGATGATTCTACAGCGCGGGATCAAGCTGTTCGCCGGGATGAGCTTGCCGGACCTCTACCCGTCGTCCCGCCTCGCGATGCTCATCAGCCGGGTGCCGGGCCAGATGAAGCGGTACCGAGAAGAACGGGACGCGTTCATGGACGCCGCCGTCCGCGAGCACCAGGAGAACAGAGCGGCCGACGACGACAAGGAGGGCTTGCTCGACGTGCTCCTGAGGATCCAGCGGGAGGGCCACCTGCAGTTCCCCATGTCCATTGACAACATCAAGTCGGCCGTCGGGGTACGTAATGAAGCACCTCACTCATGGAATCCACACATCTACTTCCATCAGTCCATGGAAAAAAGCCGTTCATGCATGTAATGTATCGTGCCGAAATCGTACAGGACTTGTTCGCCGGGGGGAGCGACACGTCGGCAACGACCCTGGAATGGACCATGGCCGAGCTCGTGAAGAACCCCAGAGTGATGGGGAAGGCGCAAGACGAGGTCCGGCGAGCCCTCGCTGGACAACCCAAGGTAATAGAGGACTCCCTCGGCGGCCTGAACTACATGCGCCTGGTGATCAAGGAGGTGCTCCGGCTGCACCCTCCGGCCCCGCTGCTGCTGCCGCGCGAGTGCATGAACGTCTGCCGGGTCCTGGGCTTCGACGTGCCCAAGGGGACCATGGTGCTCGTCAACGCCTGGGCAATCAGCAGGGACCCTGCCCACTGGGACGCCGCCGAGGAGTTCATACCGGAGAGGTTCGAGCGTGGCGAGGTCGACTTCAAGGGGGCGGACATGGAGTACACGCCGTTCGGGGCGGGCCGAAGGATGTGCCCTGGGATGTCGTTCGGCTTGGCCAACGTGGAGCTCGCGCTCGCGGGGCTGCTGTACCATTTCGACCGGGAGCTGCCCGGCGGGGCGGAGGCCGAGGAGCTCGACATGACGGAGTGTTAGACTGTATATACACGTGGCCTCTGTATACATGTACTGTAACGTTGTATTGTATCCCTTGGGTACTTCTATATAATGAGATAGCCACACCCCAGGTTAGGGGTGTCGTGCAGTCCCCAAATCATATGTTTTACATGATATTAGATTGGGTTACGATGTCTTCCGCCACCGCCGCCACCGCGCCGACCTCGGTTCCTCCCGCCGCCGCGGCACCGACCTCGGTTCCTCCCGCCGCCGCGGCGCAGGCCCTCGCGACTGCCTCACCGTTCCTTGCCTCGCAGCCGCTCGCGATGGCCTTCGGTGCCTCCATCTCGCCAGACCCCCTGATCGGATCGGGAGATTGCGCCGCCACCCCGTTCGGTGCGGTGCCCCCTGGCGCTGCTCCTCCTGCGGGCGGTGTTCCCGCGGTCCACGGTGGACCGCCGCCGCCGCCGTCGTCCTGGCAGGCGCCGCCCCTGCCGTCGTCTTGGCCGCCACCGCCTCAAACCTATGGTGCGCCGCCTCCGTAGCAGCCCTATGGCGCTCCACCGCTGCATCACTACTACGGCGCGCCTCCGCCGCTGCCCTACTCGGCGCCCACGCCGCTTCAAACCTACCCGGCGTCATCCCCACACCCGCAAGGGACTGCGGTCGCCTCCTCGCACGTGGCTCCAGCCGCGGCACACCACGGCGATCCCGCGGCTCCCTACCACAGTGCACCCGCGGCATCCTACGGCACCCCTCCAGCACACTACGGCGTCCCCGGGGCGGTTTCCTCCGGATCCTACCCGCCCTACTCGATGTATCCTGCACATCCTGGGGCGGCCTCGTCGGTGGGCCTATGTGCATCGCCACATGCCCACGCTAATTCGGCCACGGTGCCGGCACCGTTCTACTTCTCGCATCTGCTGCCGGTGAAGCTCGCGCCGGACAACTATCTGTCCTGGCGTGCCCAGGTGCTCCCTCTTCTGCGGAGCCGCTATCTGGAAGGCTACGTTGATGGATCCATCCCGTGTCCGCTCCCTCACCATCCGGCATACCACACCTGGGTGGCTCAGGATCAGGCCATCCTCTCCGCCATCCAGTCCTCGCTCACTCCGAGCGTCTCGTCGCTGGTCATCTTCGCCACTACGTCCCGGGAGGCGTGGGTGGCGCTTCACACCAATTTCGCGTCTCAATCTCAGGAGCGTGCTCACTCTATACGCACCGAGCTAGGCGAGACCAAGCTTGGCGACCTCAGCATCACCGACTATTTCAACAAGATGCGGGGTCTCGCTGACACGTTGGCTTCAATTGGTCAATCGCTGCAGGATGAGGAGTTCACCACCTTTGTGCTCAATGGGCTTGATGATGATTATGACAACCTCATTGAGAATGTTCATGGCCGCGATGGTCCGCTCCCACCTCGTGAGCTCTATGCACGTCTGCTTGGCCGTGAGCAGCGTATTAAGGCGGGTCGGGCCTCCCCCAGTTTTGCCTCCGCCAATGCCGCAAATCGTGGTAAGCCCCAGCGGTCATCATCTTCAGGTGGCAATACGGCACCGGCTTCACAACCATCCTCGCGGGGCAATGCTCCGACCATCATGGGTGGTAACCGACCAGTGGCGTGCTGTTCCTCTTGTGGTGCTCCACAGGCCTGCCAGCTGTGTGGCCTTGAGCGCCACATTGCCTCTCGCTGTCATCGTCGCTACAAGCAAGATTTTTTGGGCCTCGGCAACAATGGAAAAGGGAACGACAAGCAGGCCGCCGCCGCTGTGACGAGTCATGATTATGGTCACACTCTGTCTTACTCCATTGATCCTGCGTGGTACATGGACACTGGAGCTACCAACCACCTCACCGGTGAGATGGGTAAGCTCTCCACTCAGGAGCCATATCGTGGTCATGATCAGGTGCACACCGCCAGTGGAGCAGGTATGCGCATCTCCCATGTTGGTCAGGCCTCTCTCCTTGCACACAATTTTCGCACATTGCATCTATCTAATGTCCTTCGTGTTCCTTCTGCTACGCGTAGTTTGTTGTCCATTCCTCAACTTACTCTTGATAATAATGTCCTTGCTGAGTTTCACCCTTTTCGTTTCTTTATCAAGGATTGGGACACGAGGGCCGTTCTACTTAGCGGTCGTCTTCGCCATGGCCTGTATGCACTTGATGCGCCGCACCCATCTTCCATGCCGTGTTCTCCTCAGGTGTTCAGTGGTATTCGTGTGTCGCCTACACACTGGCATGCGTGCCTTGGTCACCCGGCGGCTCCCATAGTTCGACATGTTTTGCATCGTCATGATCTCCCAGTTGTGTCCAATAAAACTGCTGAAACTATTTGTGATGCCTGTCAGCAGGGCAAGATTCATCAGCTTGCTTTTTCAGAGTCTAGTCGTGTTGTGAACATCCTCTTGAGCTTGTGTTTTATGATGTATGGGGCCATGTGCAGACATCTGTTAGTGGTCATAATTATTATGTCAGTTTCATTGATGCTTACAACCATTTTACTTGGTTATATCTTATTAAGCGTAACTCTGATGTGTTCGATGTCTTCCTTCAGTTTCAAGCACACGTTGAGCGTCTTCTTAAGT